TTAGGAAGTAATGTTTATTTGGGTAAGTTGTCAGCTTATATGAACTAATAGCTAGTGTGGCTTGTATATGGGGTACATCCGGTGTCTTACCCTCGACGGTACCCTCCTTACCCTTATCCGCGGCGGTACCTTTATGGTCAGGAAGCCACGGATATTTACAATGGGGCTCGGTCAGTCAATATGATTCCTTTGACATCACTAAACTAACTCTTATGTATTCTGTTCTCGTATTGACAATTTGAATGACATCAAGAATATTTTGAATATCTTCTGATATAGATGGTGCTGTAGTTGATTGTTGTTCATGACAAGTCCAATGGGTCATTAGCATCGCTCAGATTAGTGGGAAGAAATTCTTGCTGCAACAATGTGTGTTCTCAGAGCTAACTAGGGTAACTAAAATACTTATTTCCTAAATAAATACTTTAATTGTAAATATTTGAAAATATATGGTATGTATCAGAATTTCTGACGATATAAAACATATTGTGGTTTATAATTAAGTTCTTAATAGTGATCCTATCCTGCATCATAATTTACATAATATCTACTTCTGTTTTGTGTATTAAAATGACTACTTTTTATGTTAATTTCTTTCTGTAAATGATGATGATGATGATAAAGATCAGTAAATGTAAGTAAGAACATAAGAATGAAGGTAACTGCAAAAGACTTATTGGCCCATACGAGGCAGCTCCTCGTATGGAGCTGCCTTTGATAAGTAATTACCAAAGAAGGCACCAAGCCGGGAAGGCTGTGTAGCACAATCAAATAAGTCAACTGCTCCTGAAGAGGACGGTATTACTTACAGTTTACTGAGATTAGTCTCACAAGTACCAGGTAATCCACTTTTAGTGTTGTACAGAATGAGTTTAAGTGAAGGAGTATTACCTGATGATTGGACAGTGTCATTGTTCCCATCCCCAAAGCACACTCAGATAATTATAGACCCATATCTCTACCATAATTTTGTCTATTAGCACAGTTTTCGGCGTGAATGCATTTTGGTTCTACAAGGTAGCCAACTCCATCAAAATATTAAATATGTACCCAACTCAATTAACGATTAATCAACCAATTACTCCATGGGATAACTTGGATCTAGCAGTTGATTTTGTAAATGCACCCAAGAAAGATAATGTACACTCTACATTATTAAAACAGTTAACACTGTGAAGCATCACTGAAAGTACTCAGAGTATGGGTAACGATGTGTATCAGTGCTATACCGACGGTTCTGTAGAAGAAGGTGGACGATGTACCGGATGTGCATGTAATATATTTGAACAATCTTCTCTCTTACATACATGAATGAAGCGCTATGCTAAACTGTGTAATTACTATTTGAGTACTGGAACACTTGATGATATATTGAACTTGTACCCTAGATTGACGATGTAACGTATCAATTATACAATGAATGTATGTGATGTAACTCTATAACCTGAGCTTGTGAAAGCACCTTAATCACCTTCAGTGATTAAGTGCTTAATTGCACACTAGTTTCTCTATCAGTTATCTCACCTTGTCAGAGTAAAAGAGACAAATATATGTGTATGTATGTGTTCAGAATTCAATTTCACCTTTGTAAATGCACGTTAATGACACTATGTAAAAGACACATCGAACACTTTATGTAGGGCATACGTAAATCTGTGTATTTATGTATTTACGTATGTAGCTTAGCCTAGCATTTTAAAAACACTACAATCACCTTATGTGGTTGATTGTTCAATAAATCCCTGAACTATATGTTTAACAAATCTCTAACCCTATCAATGGAGTTAGTTTAGTTCTTATATTATGCACCCTATACCCATCTTGTGGGCGGTAGTGGAAAGGGTTAGAGTCCATGGCGGACTGAAGAAAATGTATATATGATGGTTAGCATTGTTAATGTGTGGCCACGTCTGTGGTAGAAAATAATACAAAAAAATCAAATAAAGGTATTATTGAAACTTTATACGAAAACATTAAATCCTAAATATATCTTTAATATTATACTTGAAATATGGTATACTTTGCTCTCTCCATCGTACTTCTGCACCTGCTGGCAAGTGGTTCGGTGCAGTGTGCAGGTGATGTTCATTACTGGGTGAGCTGGCAAGTGGTGCTCACCTGCCAGCTCACCCAACGAAAATTTGGTTTTTAATACACTTACACATTTATTGGGTCTTTCCTTCACCTTCATTCAAGCACTAGGGTATTACAGTAAGTGTTTTAATTATAATATTTATTAACGTTATTATTTTTAATTTTTATTATTATTAGTATTATTATTAACAGGAGAGGATCGAGTGTGTGTGTGTGGGGGGGGGGGGGGGAATAATGGTACACATGTCCACATCCCAATGCCCGCCCTTCCAGGACTGGGGGTGCGGGGGTGTACAATAAACTATACCCACATCCGGCGGCAGCTTGTCGAAGGCGGAAGTGTAGCCTAGAGAATTTGTCATGATAATTAGTGATGACTCTTATTTTGATTATGGGTCTGTAATCCAGTTAAGCTTTTATTCTTAATTTATATTACAATGCTGGTAAAATACACTTCTTGATGATGAGTATGGAGTACAAATGAACTCATTGTGTACCCAAGTTCAAGTTCAAGTATGTTTATTGAGATAAGCAATAAATAAATCTCAAAGGGATAGAGTAGCTTAGGCTATTTCAACCCCCCTCTAATTCAAGTCCCTCAAGGGGCGCACAAATACTGTGACTACAAATAGACAAATAACATTACAAGAATCCAAACAAGAATTGTGAACCCTATACTCACAGGATGAATATAGGGTACACAATAAACTACCACTCACATCATGGGTATGGGTTGCACAAGAAACTATCGCGCAGAGGATGAATATGGAGAGCAAAGTAAACAAAGATTCACACGATGAGAAAGGGTTGCGCAATGTCCTATGACTCACAGAATGAGTATTAGCTGCACAATAAACTACAGGTCACAGGATAAGTATGGGTTGCACAATAAATTACAGGTCACAGGATGGGTATGGGCTGCACAAACTACCGGTAACAGGATGAGTATGGGATGCACAATAAATTACGGGTCACAGGATGAGTATGGGTTGCACAAACTACTGGTAACAAGATGAGTATGGGATGCACAATAAATTACCGCACAGAGGATGAGTATAGGGTGCACAAACTGGTTGGGTAAATGGAAATGGTTGGGTACATTTCCTTTCACCTAATGCGACTATTCATGTGTCCGGACTTTCAATTCAGTTATATTTATGCCAAAGTATTAACATGCAGCTTATATTTATGTCTTTATGATGACATAGAAAACTTCGTTTATTACAATATCTAGATTAAATTAACATTGATCTTCGGAAGGTCATAGTTCCCATATCGGTAAGGAGAGCGTCGGCCATGAAGCCTTGTTTAAAGTATGAATATTTTTCCTCTCTAATAAGGTATAATCTCTGTGATGGATTCACAAAAACTATTTTATATCTGCCTTTCTGATAACATATACAAATATAATCTTTATTTGTGAATATTTGTTAATTAAGCAATATATCAGAGGGCGTGTAGGGTTCGGTGTTCAATGAACGAAAAGGACTGGATCACTGTGTACAGGAGGCTGATATGGCAGCAAACACTCTCCTGGCGACCATATTTCTTGGATAAGTCGCTCCACACAATTGTCGCTTGGACCGTCGACTTCCTATGGCGTCACCTCTCACATATTTACGTCTCATTTCGTTATGAAATTAGATTATTTCAGAGAAAAAATAGGTTTGATCATGTTCTACGTGTAGCACCAACATTATAGTAAGTAAATATACCATATTTCTTCATTACTTACGTAATGCTAATACGTTTTGGGTAGTTTTGGCCTGATTTGGGTGATTGGGGTAATTCTATGGACCGCCCACCCAAGGTGTCGCGTACACCACCCAAGGTGTCGTGTACACCACCCAAGGTGTCGTGTACACCACCCAAGGTTATATATATATTCGTATTCTGCTGTTAGATAATGTTTTACGGGCTCTTCATGACCGTGCCACCTCTTGGGTTGCTTAATCATTATCAATCTTTAATAATGTTGACAGAGGTGCACGAAACGCGTCTCCTAGCCTCGGGCTACACAAAAGCTTCAGTATTGACTTTGGAGACAGCAATAATCGTAATAGGTATTAAGGAACAAGTTGGGTCCAGTCAAGGGTAGTGAAGAGATAGAGACAAAGCCGCAGTTAAAGAGATCTTGAAAGGGATACAGATGAAGAGGGCTGAACAATATATAGAAAGACTTTGGAGAGTTACATTTTCAATTTCCTTCTCAAGTGAAGAAAACACAAGACATATAAAAAAAACTTCGTGCTGGACTAATTGATCGCATCCTCGCTGTCATATGCAATAAGATATGGCTAAGAAGAAAGGCTACATTCAAAATATACTAATATGATAAATTATTCACACACTAAAGTTTCATATATAATTAAATACGTCATGTAATTTGAATCACCATATAATTATTCTCATCATGTAGTTATATACATTAAGCATCATACACTGTCAACTAACAAATCCAACAGGGGGCCTTGATTAGGGTTCGAAGCTATGCGCTGGGTGTTCCCAAACGCGCTTTAGTCAACTGTACCACGACATGTTACAAGAATTGCAACCTGAAGTGCATCTGCATCCACGAGGATCCCATTGGCTAGTTGATTAGTGGTACCGTTGACTAAGAGCGCGTCTGGGAACATCCAACGCCTAGATTCGAACCCTCGCAACAAGGCCCTTGTAAATTTGTCCACCGATATATCACGTTATTGTGATTTCTCTGTGTACTGTCAAATATATCACACGATCTTGACTGGTCGCAGGATTAGAGTATGTAGTGATAGACGATATTCTTTTTAGCGCAATGAAGAGTCCTGTACGACGGAAAACGGATAGAGATCGGATAGAGTGCAATCAAATTACACTGTTCGATAATATCAGTGAACGATAAGATAAACGTGATAGCGTTGCAGGCTAACTTCCCTGCCGATAAGGAGTGGACGGGTGTGCGGACGGGTGTGTCACATTATGAACCGACCTGCTGTCGCTTTAGCCACAGTCAACGTGGTTTCAAAGGTATTCTTTTTAATTACTTTCTACTGATGATATCCACCATTACCCGGGGAGGATCAGTGGTTGTACAGGGTGACCTGGGAATGTACAGGTTGACGAGGGGATGTACAGGGTGACCTGGGAATGTACAGGTTGACGAGGGGATGTACAGGGTGACCTGGGAATGTACAGGGTGACTTGGGGATGTTCAGGGTGACCTGATGATGGACAAGGTGACCTGATGATGTACAGGGTGACCTGATGATGTACAGGATGACCTGATGATATACAGGGTGATCTGGGGATGTACAGGGTGACCTGGAGATGTACAGGTGACCTGGAGATGTACAGGGTGACCTGGGGATGTACTGGGTGACCTGGGGATGTAGAGGGTAACCTGGGGATGTACAGGGTGACCTGGGGATGTACAGGGTGACCGGGGATGTACAGGGTGACCTGGGGATGTACAGGGTGACCGGGGGATGTACAGGGTGACCTGGGGATTTACAGGGTGATCGGGGGATGTACAAGGTGACCGGGGGATGTACAGGGTGACCTGGGGATGTACAGGGTGACCTGGGGATGTACTGGGTGACCTGTGGAGGTACAGGGTGACCTGGGGATATACAGGGTGACCTGGAGATGTACAGGGTGACCTGGAGATGTACAGGGTGACCTGGGGATGTACTGGGTGACCTGGAAATGTATAGGGTAACCTGGAGATGTACAGGGTGACCTAGGGATGTACAGGGTGACCGGGGGATGTACAGGGTGACCTGGGGATGCACAGGGTGACTTGGGGATGTTCAGGGTGACCTGATGATGGACAGGGTGACCTGATGATGTACAGGGTGACCTGGTGATGTACAGGATGACCTGATGATATACAGGGTGACCTGATGATGCACAGGGTGACCTGGGGATGTACAGGGTGACCTGGAGATATACAGGGAGACCTGGAGAAGTACAGGGTGACCTGATGATGGACAGGGGGACCTGATGATGTACAGGGTGACCTGGTGATGTACAGGATGACCTGATGATATACAGGGTGACCTGATGAGGCACAGGGTGACTTGATGATGCACAGGGTGACCTGGGGATGTACAGGGTGACCTGGAGATGTTCAGGGTGACCTGTGGATGTACAGGGTGACCTGTGGATGTACAGGGTGACTTGTGGATGTACAGGGTGACCTGTGGATGTACAGGGTGACTTGTGGATGTACAGGGTGACCTGTGGATGTACAGGGTGACCTGGGGATGTTCAGGGTGACCTGTGGATGTACAGGGCGACCTGTGGATGTACAGGGTGACCTGTGGATGTACAGGGTGACTTGTGGATGTACAGGGTGACCTGTGGATGTACAGGGTGACTTGTGGATGTACAGGGTGACCTGTGGATGTACAGGGTGACCTGGGGATGTTCAGGGTGACCTGTGGATGTACAGGGTGACCTGTGGATGTACAGGGTGACCTGTGGATGTACAGGGTGACGTGTGGATGTACAGGGTGACCTGTGGATGTACAGGGTGACCTGGGAATGTACAGGATGACCTCGGAATGTACAGGGTGACCTGTGAATGTACAGGGTGACCTTTAAATGTACAAGGTGATCTGGGGATGTACAGGGTGACCTGGGAATGTACAGGATGACCTGGGAATGTACAGGGTGACCTGTGAATGTACAGGGTGACCTTTAAATGTACAAGGTGACCTGGGAATGTACAAGGTGACCTGGGGACGTAAAGGGTGACCTGGGGACGTACAGGGTGATCTGATGATGTACAGGGTGACCTGATGATGTACAGGGTGAAGTGGGGATTTACAGGGTGACCTGGAGATGTACAGGGTGACCTGATGATGTACAGGATGACCTGTTGATGTACAGGATGACCTGGGGATGTACAGGGTGACCTGGGGATGTATAGGGTGACCTAGGGATGTATAGGGTGACCTGATGACGTACAGGGTGACCTGATGATGTACAGGGTAACCTGGGGATGTACAGGGTGACCTAGGGATGAACAGGGTGACCTGGAGAGGTACAGGGTGACCTGGGGATGACTACTTGAATTACCACGATATTTTTGAGAGAGAGAGAGAGAGAGAGAGAGAGAGAGAGAGAGAGAGAGAGAGAGAGAGAGAGAGAGAGAGAGAGAGAGAGAGAGAGAGAGAGAGAGAGAAAGAGAGAGAGAGATTTTCCAGCATCATAATGTAAACTGATCTAATCTTTCCAGGAATCACACGACAATGCCTTCACACATTATGAGGATAAGAATGTGGGCGTGGGTGGTGGTGTGGGCGTGTTCTGAGGCAGCAGCCAGTGTGTATGTATCGGAGATACTGAGGGTGGGCGTGAATGCTACATTCTGTGAACACATGGGATCCACACTCTTCTGTAACTATAAAACCACTGACAAGGTAACTATTTCTTTCTTTCTCTAGTGTATTAGCAATGACAGATGTCACTCTACAGTGACTCCACACTCTACACTCTGCTTTTCTCTAACATTGCTTTAGAATCTTTTTTTTTTCTTTTTCTTCGAATCGCACCTCCGAAAAGGCTTACCATACATATTACAAATGTAAATAATAGCCAACAGAACTCAAACATCTAACCCTAGCCTAACCATAACCTAAAGATGTACAATATTCTAATGTGTAATAATATTAAGTCACATCCTAATATTGTGAACCGTGTGAAAATTGAATCATTTCATGAAAATAGAAAGAAAAATAGAAAGGAAATAGGTGAACCTGAGAGGAAGAAGAGATATAAGAATGACGAAAATATAAAACCGGATGAAAAGAAAATTACAGAAAGAATCACAGAAGCCGAGAAAGGCCTAAAATCGGCAATGGAAGACTTAGACAAGTTTGAAAAGCAGATGTTAAACAACACGGAAAATATAGAATTAAGACTGGATCTTAATCGTTACATGGATGAACATGTCCAGAAAATGTGCAACATTGCAGGACAAGTAGTATACCTCTGGAGCACGAACAATATTTCCTATTGTGAATGAAAGCATGTATGATGAATGCATCTCTGGGACTGACATAATATGAACATATTTGTGAAAAGTCCTATTTTGAAGGTACAACATATTGAAATTGATGACTATATCTTTTGCGTCAGTGAATGGATGGAATGAGCATAACCTGAAAGGAAGGAAATCTATAAGGAGAAAACACCATGGCATTACGGCTATAAAGCTCTGGGAAGGGTTAAGGATTTGGGATGGGACGGTTGAAAGGAATGGTGCCATACCACTTGGACTGTCAGGGATTGAACGCCAACCTGCATGAATCGAGGCCGTTACTCTACCGTCCGTAGCATGAGAAAGTGTTGGTTAATTCAACGTTGAGTCAACGTAGATGACGTTGAATTGGCTGGTAAAAAGGGGTAAGGCCAGACCCAAGCGTCTGGACTCCCGCCTCGGACAGACACAGATAAGCATGAATATATATATATATATATATATATATATATATATATATATATATATATATATATATATATATATATATGCGAACAAGGCTGAATGGTCATATATATATATATATGTTTTTTCACACATAGATCGGTGGTATTCAGTGGCGAAAATAATATATTTTTGTCGTCTGTAAATCACGCGATCTGAAAATTAAGTAATCATACTTGTGAATATATTTCCCCTTAGGTGATTCCGATCATTAAAAGCTTACCCCTGGAAGGCCATCTTCAATGAGTAAACATTTATAGTCATTGATTAATATATTGTTCCTTCCGTAGATGGTTTTTATGGATGAAGAACTGGACACATCAGTGCAGAAGGTGTTCGTGTATAACGCTGTGAAGCTGCAGCTGAGTGAAACTGTGTGTGTCAGCGTTATGTTCAACAACGTGGCCGAGGTGGTGGTGGTGAAGGGCGAGGGTGACCCTTGTGAACCTCACCGCGAGTTCTCCGCCAGACACTCGAACTTGGACAGATTACCTAGCCGGGTGAGTCGTATATACATGGAAGACAGCACCATCACCACGCTGGCCACCACCGCCAACATCAGTCAACTCATCGTCATCAACTCCGTCATCAAGGTCTTCAACGTCTCCAGCCCTCTACAGCCATGCGTCTCGGTGGACCTGGTCTCATCAACACTCCAAACTCTCCAAAACCTGCATGTGACAAAAGGTTCTGATCTTCTGTTGCACAAATCATCTGTGGCTGTGGTAGCGTATCACGGGTTAATCAACGAAGGCAATGTAGTTTTGAGAGAATCGACGACGACGGCGTCAGAGGAAGACGGTGTCCTCATGCTTCCTGGAGCTACACTGACCCTCAACACCTACTCTGGTAGCCTGAGAGTGAAGGCCGCGTCACTCGACTCCTACAGTGAACGGCAACTCATGACCCAGTCTCCCTCTGTAACTTGTGAGTGTGATCCGTTACCCAGTTACTTCAGAGCATTTGTTGCGTGTCTTATATTACTGCTCCTTGCTTGCCTGGTGATTATATTTTGCGGAATATACATTTACATGTTTACGGATAAAAAATCAGTTTTTTCCTTAATAATATTTAAAAATGCTGCGAAAAGTATTGATCTTTCAGAGAGAGATTCAGAACTACCTCTTATAGGTGGCCTAGTTGGTGGTGCTTCAACCCAAGTAACACCAGAGGATATATCATCTAAAATATTAGCAAACATCTCTGAAAAGTGGCTAGAAAAATTAGATTCTCTAAACATGGAAATCTTAACATCATTGAATAAAGAACAATCGGATTATCGTGAGAAAATTGAATCGTTTCACAAAAATAGAAAGAAAAGTAGAAAAGAAATAGGTGAACCTGAGAGGAAGAAGAGATATAAAAATGACGAAAATATAAAACCGAATGAAAAGAAAATTGCAGAAAGAATCACAGAAGCCGAGAAAGGCCTAAAATTGGCAAAGGAAGACTTCGAGAAAGTTGAAAAGCAGATGCTAAAAACACGGAAAATATAGAATTAAGACAGGATCTTGATCAATACATGGATGAACATGTCCAGAAAATGTGCAACATTGCAGGACAAGCATTGGACCTCTGGAAACGTTCGCTTAAGTCTGATTGGAGCTCATTATTTATATTCGAGCCCAACAAGTGGCTGAGTTTGTGTGAGAGTCTCATAAAGAAACAGGAAAATAACTGGAAAGTCTACGTCGAAGAACAGAAGGACAAATATAAAGAACGTTCAAAGGAATTACACGAAAAGTTCACAATGGAATTTAAGGAATTAAACGAAAAGTTCGTCATGGAATCTAAGGAATTAAACGACAACTTCAAGGACGACGCCAATAGAATTACGAGTCTGTTTAAAGTACAAAAACTGAAAAATGAAAAGAAATTGAAGCATCTGAATGAAATATTAAATGAGACCCGTCTAGTATCACATACTTTGCTTTCAATGGAAACTCTAAATATCGACCATGAAAAACTTCAAGACTCTCGCGACAACGTTCTAACAGCAGCCACTGAAAATTTTACACAAGAAATGCAGAAACAATTAGAGGCGCTGCTGAACATGCACAAGCTGTGTGTTCTGTTCACAAGGCAGGAAATGAACAAGATGTGTGACGAGATGACTGAAACAATCGAACACCCAGTTATGCACGAACACCCAGTCAGGCACGAGCACCCAGGTGCTCAGTCACAGAACAGCAACAGTAACTGAACCAGTAGTGAACGATGCCGGTCACTGTATTGTAATGTAACGTGAAGAGAAAGATAATGACTTTAACTTTATTTAACTAGAAGTGTAAAGAAGTTGCTGTATTATGTAACATGAAAAGTAAGGAAGTTCCTATAACCTAATGTATCTGAAAGAGTAGACCACTGACAGTTATCTAATATAACTAGTAGTGTAGACTACTAACTGTGATCTATTTTAACTTTGAAGCGAAAGTTGATAACTGTTATTTAATGTACCTTGACTAGTAAGATAGTAAATTTATATTCTAATATAACTTTTATATTTTGTTCTAACACGTAAGATATATGTTACTCTCATATTAGGCTAAGGAATGTAAGCTAATGTGACAATTTTTAAAGCAAAAATATCAGTAATTAAAGAACAATATTCAGAAATATCACGTTTCCTCTCGCTCAGTTCTTAGGCTGCTTGAATGAGATAATGAGAGATACAGGACACATACTTTCACAAATTCGACGAATCCGCCACAGAGAAATAGGAAGTAGTACGACCGCTTTGGTTCCTTCAGAGAGACGTCGTCAGGAATAAGTAACAAATGCCAGAGAGAGAAAGTAGCAAGGAAGGAGACCAATTTAAGAAACTGGTGCCAACTACCTATAAAACAACAACTAGTAATTTAAATTAGGGACAAAAATGTAAACAAGAACTGAATGTAAATCGTAAGTAAACTGCGACCAGTGCAACGAATAACACGAAATTTATCTTCGAAAGTTGAGAAAATATGAAAACGAACCGTGTAAAGAGAGTAGTGAAACAGCAAACAGGGAAGGTCCAGTGTAGTGGAGGCCAGATAGGAGGGGCTGTGACCCTTAAACCTGTCTTGGGCTGGACGGTAGAGTGACGGTCTCGCTTCATGCAGGTCGGCGTTCAATCCCCGACCGTCCAAGTGGCTAGGCACCATTCCTTCCCTCCGTCCCATCCCAAATCCTTTATCCTAATCCCTTCCAAGTGCTATATAGTCGTAATGGCTTGATGTTTTCCCCTGATGATTCCCTCCCTTCATCTCAATTGTTTTCGCGGCAAAATACTAACTAAAAATTTGTAACTTTTGTACAATCCCGGACTCAAATTCAAAGTATTATCTCTATATATAATTACGCGTGAGTCACTTGTCTTTCTGCTAATGAAGACTTGCTCTAGTTCAAAGCAACAATTGTAATTCAATAATTGTTGACTGCATTATTGCAATTCTGGATTGCAATAATCCAGTCAACAGAATAGTTGAAATCTCCTAAGTGAGCAAACAATACCATTTGAAATGTGACCTGATCTAATAGAACATTTACACTGGCTTAACTGTTTGTCCATAGACGTAGTGATTGACTAATGTAAACCGTAATACATAACTTACTATGTATCTTACTTACACATCCACCAAAAAAACAGAGGAATTTTTCATCAATACGTCATTCACTGTACACATATTCTTAAACACAACATTAATTTTACACTTCTTAAGAGTGTGTGCAATTCTTCATATAATTTCCATGTAAGGGATGGTATTAAACATATCTGTAAAGGACTGAATCATTCTTAGACTAGGCTTTTAAAATCTTTTTCTTTCAATGCAGTTTCTGTTACAGATTTGGCATATTGAAACTTAAAGGCAATCACATTTTTATTTTTCACATTTCTGTACGAATTCAAGGCTTTGCTTGTGGGTAATCCAGAATTTATTGTTATAAATATTTAAAATTACTTTATTAGGGCTGACAGTCATCGGGAGTGAATGTAATTGCTTAGTATTATCCGTCTGTTTCAAGGAATATCGTTTAGTGTGAGAGAGTTCTTTATAAGCAAGTTACCTATGTAGAGCATTACCTATCTTCATGCTCTTTAATTATAGAATCAGCTGTATTTTCTGTTTAGAATTGCTAGGAGTCACGTGTGTGTGTGTGTGTGTGTGTGTGTGTGTGTGTGTGTGTGTGTGTGTGTGTCGAGTATAGCTGACATGAATCTGTCCAACATAATGCTCGTCGTCGAAAATATGTTCTTACAGTAGAGTCTAATTGATGAGACCAGTTATGTCAGCACTGTGGAGAAATGCCCGACAGACCACTGGAACATTATTTAACACAGTGCAGTTACAAATCCATTAAGATTTCAACTTAGATACAACAGAGCAGAAGTTGTTAAACACGTGGGACCAAATCTTACTGAAGCGACCATACGAGTCATAAATACTCATACTCCGCCCAAGTAAAACAGAAACAAGCAACACTTAGTGGGCTAGCCAGAGGCTTAGGGCTCGCGCAGGAATATCCCTGCAAAAAAAAAAAAGTTCTGAGGTGTTGACTTCATCATCAATAGTCAACACAGTGTTTCTCATCTTTCTTTGGATGACCTCTTCCACATGACCGTTATAGTGACCGTCTTATCGACAAGAACCGGCCTCATTCCTCTCGAGTTCCTCACCAACTTGCTTCCAACTAGAGTTGAGTGAGCAAGAACAGCTACGGTAGGCATCAGCAACTTTTGACTTGTGTCGGCCAGAGCACTTACAACTTGCACTTGCACTATGACAAGTTCATTCTCAAGACGTTGTTTAGCGATTAAATAATACAAAGTTGGGTTTAACGATTAAATATTAAAAAAACCAGAGGATACACGAGTACGAAGTTGAAATAAGTGAGATAGACAGAAGAACAGTTGAAAATTTGTTACCTAAATGGAAAAAGTCAGCTAGAGTGAGCACAAGTAATGGAGTAGAATTCAGCAATAAACAGCAGAGGGAGAGAGAGAGAGAGAGAGAGAGAGAGAGAGAGAGAGAGAGAGAGAGAGAGAGAGAGAGAGAGAGAGAGAGAGAGAGAGAGAGAGAGAAAGAGAGAGAGGGTTAGCACAAGTAAAGTTGAAGAGTAAAATACAGGAGAAAACTACAATAAAAAAATATATTCAGAGACCATAAACAAACATAAACAAACATAAACAAACGAGGCCCAGAAATTCTGGAAACATAAACACACCGATGAAAGACAAAACCACTAACAAAATTAAAGGTAAATACAGAGACCCGATAAAGGAAATACGCGAAACCTCAAAAACAATTAACGAACTCCATATAAAAAAACAGAAACAAATGAACCAATATATAGAGAGGAAAATATAATGCCTATATCTGTTCTTGGTGAGCGAGCTGAAGACACAAAGATCTATCTTGGTGAGCCGGAGGAGAAATTCTTAGTTTAAAATAGCACGGAGCAATATAGAAAAGCATTCCTGGAAGGTGACAAGAGGGGGAGATATAGGAGTTAAATATACGCTAAGAGAAGCTGAGACTCAGTTCAGAGAAAGGGTTAAAGTGGTGTAAAAATTTTGCCGACTGTGGAACACAGTAGAATCACTCTGAAAGGTGAAGGGCAGTGAGGGTGGCAGAGTTCACTGGGAAGAGCCGAGCTGCATGTGTGGTTGCAGATTACTCGATTTAGAAAGAAATAAGAATAAACTTGTGCACCGATGTGAATTCACACACACACAACACAACACACCACACACAACACAACACACCACACACAACACAACACACCACACACAACACAACACACCACACACAACACAACACACCACACACAACACAACACACCACACACACAACACACACCACACACACCACACACACACACACACACACACACACACACACACACACACACACACACACCACACACACACACACACACACACACACACACACACACACACACACACACACACAACACACACACACACACACACACCACACACACACACACCACACACAACACACACACACACACACACACACACACACACACACACACACACACACACACACACACACACACACACACAACACACACACACACCACACACACACACACACACACACACACACACACACACACACACACACACACACACACACCACACACCACACACACACACACACACACACACACACACACACCACACACACACCACACACACAACACACACACAACACACATCACACACACACACACACACACACACAACACACACACACCACACACACACCACACACACAACACAACACACCACATACACACCACACACACCACACACACCACACACACAACACACACCACACACATCACACACACAACACAACACACAACACACATCACACACACAACACACACACACACACACACACACACACCACACACACCACACACATCACACACACAACACAACACACACACCCACACACACACACACACCACACACACCACACACACAACACAACACACCACATACACACACCACACACACCACACACATCACACACACAACACAACACACAACACACATCACACACACAACACAACACACACACACACACACACCTATGGAGGCTCAACGAAGCGTGAGGGGCCGCGGTGATCAATAGCACTTAAGGTACAGTTTCAGCACAGAACACGAGCTTCCCGCTGGAACCTCACCAGGCAACTGTGACGGGCTGACCCAGTCTCCTGGAATGTAATAGTCATACCACAGATGCTGAGGACATCAAAGTGTCAGCTGGGGTTCCCACTGTATTACCAGTGACGGTGAAGATATCAAAGTAACAGCTGGAGTTCCACTGTATTACCAGTGACGGTGAAGACATGAAATGACAGCTGAGGTTCCATAGTATAACTGTTGACAGTGAAGACATAAGAGTGACAGATGGAGTTCTATAGAATTACCTGTGATATTACAAGCTTGAAAGAGACAGATGGGATTCCCAAGGACTGTTGGGAAGTGTTGCAGAAGTAAGGAGAGATACAACACGTTCTGAAATGCTTGAGGGGAAGAATCTCAGCTCAACTGCTGACGGTACGATGTCCTGATTTAGATGAAGTCATTGAGTGCTGCTGTTGATTTGAGCATATATATATATATATATATATATATATATATATATATATATATATATATATATATATATATATATATATATATATATATAAAATTGTGTGTATGCAGAAATGAGACTAGAGTGCTACGATCAATTGTGTTAGGGTTCACCTTTGATGTTTTTTTGGGAGGGAGGTTTCTTGATTTCTGTAATA